GGGTGGCCTGGGCAAAGTAGTTTTTCCATAGGTTTCAGCATTCTCCTCTGGAAAATAGGGCCAATTGTATTCAGTTTACTGACCTCTAGAATTGCGGTGCAGGTTGGTCTGATTATGTCACTTTTTTTAATGGCTTCCCATTACCCTCAATATAAAACCTGTCCTCCATGGCATGACTGACAAATCTTTTATAATCTGACCCCTGCCCACATCTCTAGCCTCAGCAGCCCCCAACCGCACCAACAATACTAAACGGTATGTCCGTAGTTCCCTGAACACACTGTGTATTTCCTTATCTCTAGGTGGGAAACATGCAGTTCATTCTCCACCCCCTACTTCCTTTCATCTGGCAAACTCCTTAGCATGGGTGTCACCTCCTCCAGAAAGCCTTCTCTCGCCACTACCACCTGCACTAGACTGAGTGGGGTGTTCCTGCCTCTGCATATCACAAGCAGCATTGAAAATGCCTGTGTTTGTGTCTGTTTCTTCTCAGCACCTGGCCCAACACCTGGTGCATAGTAGGTGCTCAACTAAATGGATGAATAAGTAAGAAGCCTGCAAAAAAAATGGGTGTGTGATTATACAAACCTGAGGGTTTGCTGTAATCATATTCAGGTCTATCCTGAAAGAGGGGAAATTGAATCTCAGTCTTCAGGGGCCCTACACAGCTTACTTAGGTTGTAAGTGGGGACCAGGCAGCTGCAGTTGAAAGCAGACTTCCAAGCTCTTTTTTCACTCACCTGAAATGAGGAGGGGCAGCTCAGGAGGAGAGAAGGTGGGAATGGAATTATTCCCTCTGTTCGAACATCTGCTCTGTGCCGGACAGAATCAACCTTTTGCAACTCTGGTGGTCACCATTCATTGGTGACTACAATTTCCTGTGAATTGCCCCAGCTGTGTTTAGCAGCCCTGGGGCCAGACCTTGCCTTGTTTGAGTTCATTTCATTCTTGCAATGTCTCTATGGGTTGTGTGGTCATCTCTCCATCTTATAGATGGGAAAAGGGGCTCAGAGAAGCTAAGCATCTGGCCCCAGACCTTGCAGCTTGTAAGTGTGGGGAGGGGCGGTGGCATTTGAACCCAATTTACCGTGCTCCAAAGATACTACCAAGAGTGTGAGTGATGCTTTGGAACCATCCAGAGGTAGATGGAGGCAGGGTTGGGCCTTGAGGGGAGGAGGTGGGAGTGTGAGAATCAGATAAATGCACCAGAATCACTTACCCCAAGACCCACAAAGGACTCCTGGCAGCGGGCAGCTCAGGCCCTACTCCAAGCCAAAGGCCAGGGCACTGCATCCCTCCGGAGGTGCGGCATCCCTCCTGACCTCACGCAAAGGTGCAGCATGGGCTGGCAGAGGTGCCCCCTGCCCCCCAGTTCAGTTCTCAAAGACAGGTGAGGCCTGGTGGAAATGAACAAGGCCACGCGGGGAGGAGAGAAGTTCCATGGATCATTGGTATTTCCTCGTGCGGTAGCTTCAGTAGACTTTGCTTATGCTCCAACAGCGAGGGAGTGCGTCTTCATCGCCCCAGATGTTTGGTAAAGAAAATAAAGCCACAGAATGACTGTTTGAGCTCAGGCCCTTGGGTCAGACATGCCTTGGTTCCCATCTGCCACTTCCTTGCTGGGTGACCCTGGGCAGGCGTCTTTGCCTCTCTGAGCGGTAGTTTGCTTGGAACAGGCTAAGTGCTAAATACATAGTAGCTTGTTAGTTAACCACAGAGGAGCTCCTTCTAGTGTTTTCCATCATGGGGGCCTTCTCAGTGAGGCAGCGAGGGGTCCAGTGCACAGTCGGCATCTCGGTTCTCTCCTCCATCCCTTGCAGTTCCTGAAGACCCACAGTAACCCTGGGGCGGTGCTGTTACTGCCTTTTGTTGTGTCCTGCATCAACCTGGTCGTGCCGCGCTTCTACTCCATGTTCAGGCTGGTGGAGAGGTACGAGATGCCGCGGCACGAAGTCTACATCATCCTGATCCGGTAGGTGATCTGTCGCCCAATGCCAGCCTCCATTTCCACAGAGGGAAGTGGAGTGGGAACTTGAAAGGGTTACACCCGCATCAAAGTTCTGTTCTCCAGAAAGAAGGAGTTTCAAGAGTCAAGTGTGTTTGCATGGTGTGGGCTAATAGCCATAAAATCTGAGGAGCCCTGAGAAAATACAGTTATTGGATACAAATGCCTTTTGCTCAAAGGAACAGCTCGCCTTTCTCAATTGCTCCCAGCCCGAAGGTTAACATATTAACAGTTCTCAAGTATGAGAGGTACAGATGGGCAAGCAGTGCACTGCACAAATGTTCCCAGCTGAGGAGTTGTGTGGGGACAGGACTCATCCAATGCTCCCTTTAGTCAAACTGTGAGTCCTGGTACCCACTACATCAGCTGGGAAGAAGAGGTGCATTTTCGTGACTTAGCCACCCAAACAGAGGTGGGAGGAGTGCTTTGGCAATTCATTGGCTCAGAAGGGGTGTCTTTTTGTGATTCCCACCAAGGCATCATATGTGCTAGAGGTGAAACCATGGCTTTGATAAAGCCTAAAACTACTCACATTTTGTCCTTCTAGCTTCTTCCTGGCAAGTTCCCTGCTGACTAGTTTCTGGTTATGGCGGTGTTTAAAATGATAAGTCTGTACGGTGCAGATTGAGTTTCTTTACTGATCATTGCAGAGCCCTTGACGTAACTTGGTGTTTGAGATCTGCCTCCTGGCTGCTCTCCAGCCTCATTTTCTTCCCCTCTCCTTCTCCACCACTACCCTTCTCCCTCCCTGACCTCCTCAGTGTTCACGGACATGCCACCCTGCAGCCCCAACACTGGGCCTTGGCATTGGCTGTTCTTTCTGCCAGGAATGCTCTTTCCACACACAGCCACATGGCTTGCTTCCTGCCTTTATTTTGGCGTCTGCGTAAACGTCACCCTCTTGGAAAGCTCTTCCTTGAGCACTCCATTAAAAATAACAGCTCTTGAACCTTACATTCAGCTGATTAGAAATAATAATAAAACA